TTTTCAGGTTCTGTTATATTAGTCCCCTCCTTGAATGTTTTTGAAGCTGTCAGTCGCCTGTTATAAAATTTAATCATTGCGAAGAAAAAATTGATTAAAGGGACAAACAGGTATCTAAAATGAGAAGATGTTTATTTTGGCTACAAGGAAGAAGCGAGCACTGTATTCAGTATCAGAACAAAACATTTTCTATTTTGTAATTAACGTCATCACAAAAAACCTTTTTATTACAATAAACTTCCTCAAAGGCACTTACCTTAATCGCCATCAGCCGTCCGAACAGGCTCCCGGGTTGATAAGAAAAATGTTCTTCCACATCTCCCTGGTTTTCGCTGTTTATCTCGCAGAGGCCATTGTTCTCTGTTGTGTTGTAGTAATTGTATGACTTGCACTGCGAATGAGCCAAGCATTTCTGGGCGCAAGACAGAAAATCACTAGTTTTAAACGTTGCGATGTTACACCCAAGTAAAACCCGATCAGCAATTATTAAACCAAGAGCCTGGCGATAAGCTTGTTCCGAACCGAGACATGTAGAAAACAGAAACAAAATTAAAGTAACTGAAAGAGCGGTGGTCATTTTTTAATTAAGTGACTTCTCTGACCATGATTAATGTCTTTGACTTAGCTCTGATGTGTTTGGAACTAAAATTTGGAATTTTACGCTTAATTAGGTTAACGCCTGAACAGAAAAGTCGAATCGACATTTGCCCATTGTCTGGTTAAAATCCGGTGATTGGTTAGAGAGGAAAGGCTAATGAAAAGAAGGCAAACAAGTGATTATATCGGCGGGTAAATATTTGAACATATGCACACGGGCTCATTGCACTTTCTAATGGTTTGCAAGTTGCCAAAGACTCAAAAAACAGCATTTTCAGATATCTTAAGTAACTCATTTCAATCAAGACTAGTTTAAGTCTAGTGGCACTTAACGGCGGCTCGTAAAAGCAGCAATATTTGTACCAAAACCTCTCTCTGTCGATGAAAATTTGCATGCGTGCAAAGGAAGGAGGCTTATCGTCACTAGTCTATAAAGCGTTTCGTACTCAATACGAAGTGCCTGAGGAGGAGGAGGCAAGCATTATTCTGTTTCATGATCTTTCATGGCCAAAATTGACTTGAAGTTGGAGCAGACTGTGCATGAGTAAAGCTGTCGGATTTCCTACTGGCCAGGCCAGTATGGTATTCGAAATGTTATCGACAGCTTGGAAGGCGTTGAAAAAAAATTGTCGCTTAATCTTTTTTCTTTATCATACATGGCCAACTTCTACCTAATTTGAGGGATCAACGCATCGCAATTATTTCCTTCCCGTTATCAAAAATAACATTCGGTACACTAATAATTCAACCCAAGTCGACATTAAGGATGCGTGCCCTGTGTTCATCGTTTCCCCATTAATCCAGACAATGACGGAAGGCTGTAGCAAAGTAGCCTGAGAAAACAGCCGACATTTCGCGACGCCACCCCTAGTTTCCCGTGAAATGACGTCTGAGAAACAAGGGCAGCAATTACATATTGATGATGCGTCACTACCTCGATCTGGGTAGTGCTTCTGATTGGTTGAAGAAATTTTCAGCCAATCAGAAGTACTACCAAGACCTGGGTACTGACGCATCATCAGTATGGAATTTCTGCACTCATTTCTCGGACATAATTTCGCGGGGAAACCAGTGCTGGCGTCACTAAATGTTGGCTGTCTTCTCAGGACAGGGGCATGCAAAGTAGCAGTTCCAAAGATTCGATGAGCGCTTATACAGAGGCGAAGTCGTTACGTAACGGTGCTATGGAAGCAAGATTCTGATCTCAACTAACCGTGGTCCTGTAAAAATGGCAGGAAAAAAAAAAAACGAAAAAATTTTACATGATGTATGACTTTCCTGCTTGTGTATGATTGCACTCAGGAACAAAACGGTAGCCCATACTGTAGCCTGTCTGTGTATAGCCTCCCACGCAGGCGGTTTTAGGGGAGCTCGTCTTTCATCCCTCTCTCCCTTTTGGGAGGGATGAAAAACGAACTCCCCCCAAAAACGCCTGCGTGGGAGGCTAGTCTGTGTACAGAAAGATTGTTCAGATCCAGAAATTTTGCTACCGTGGTAACGTGACGTCACACTTCTCCTCTCTATAATAATCTATTCAACATCCTGCTCAGTTTTATTAAGGTGTGCGTGAATGATTAATCAGAGGACTAAGCGAAGCTGGGGCAGCTTGGCTTAGGGGTAGTCAGAAATACGACTCACCCGATTTTCTGAGTGGGAGGGTGGGTCGTTCACTCCTGCGTGGCTCCGCTGAAAACTGAGCAAGATCAATGATTTCCACACCAAATCAGTATTTATCATCAGGAGTTAATTAATCGCACGTGAAAGAGTTTGACTAGCCACGTTAAACCTGTTAATTAGGTATATTTCAACTTCGCATGTCATTATGAGTGTTGTGAAAGAATAGCAAATAAAACTGCACATTCCTCGTGTATACATAGATTTTATTGACTTGGAATTAAAATAGAATTTAAATGCTCCTGACATAAGATGTTCTAGCCTACAAAGGGTATGGAAAATATATTAAAGTATATTAAATATATTGTAATGTATTCATCAATATATTAGAAATGCAGCCTTTAAATCTCTTTTTTTTACAGAAGTCGAAAAACCAGAAAAGCAAGATTGAGCATTTCTTTGTTAAATAGTTAACAGTCAACAACTGAAAAACAAAACATTGGAGCTGGTGTCTAACGGCTTGGAACACTCGTAATAAGTTCACAGCGTCATATTTGTAACTAAGGGAAATTAATTTTACAATTAAAGGAATATGATACGACTGACGACTATAAACCTGCCATCAAGCTTTTATATATCGCATTCAGGCTACGTGATGATTACATTGCGCAGATTATATTTACTATCATGATTCTATCATTTTTCGCGCCTTAGAAATAAAAAAATACATTGTAATCTAGCATTCAAAATCGAATTATTTCCATTTGATACTCAAAATAAGCCCAAGCTTGCTTGATTGAATGGCTATATAACTGGTATTTGTGATTTACATGCTCTTATCTAACCTAGTATTACTGGCCATTGATCGCCTGGACCCGCTTGAGACGCCGTCCTTAATGAGGCCAAATCGAATTCAATGAATGAAAATAGGCATCTGAATCAATTTCAAAAGGCTAATTGAATTTGGATCGGCTCAACCCTTCTTGACGCCTCACTAAGCCAGAAATAATTACAGCTATGGAACTGCATTATTAAGTCGCCGAACTTTACATTAGTCCAAATGCTTTGGATTTTTATTATGTTTACCGAAATAAGCGATTTTTCCCTTTGATTTTAGCTCGGCTGAAATTAGTAAAAACCAAAGGTTACGGAGTGCGGGCGACAACGATCGAAGGTCAAATGCGCTTTTGCTCCAATGCTGTGCTTTGCGCAAGTTTCACGTCAAAACACGCGTGATCAGATTACAATCGAGGAGAAGGTTCAAACTGCGCGTGATCACGATTTCGTTCCGTCCATTCCGTTATTCTTAGTCGAAGTCCAAACGAAGCTGGGTACATACGTGTCGTGCATGCGTAATAGAAACCTGGAGATTAGGATTGCGGGTTCCTCTTGTCGCCCGCAATAAAGATCGGCGTTTGAATCAATTCAGCCCGCCTAAATTCGAGTCGGCCTTAATTCGAATTCGATTCGGCTTATGTGACCTAGGGCGACTAAGGCGGGCTACCTGGGACTTTAAGATCCAACGACGCGACGGCTACAAGAACGTCGTTTAAAAAGTCGATTTGCGTTCTTTCAGTCTTTATAGCGATTATTCCTACCCACTTACTTTGTCAAATGTAGGCGAACCCTCCTGAAGCTTAATTTCAAGGGACCATATTCAAGCTCAGAAAGAGAAATAAAATTTCGTCGTTGCTTGTTTACGTCCTCCATAAAACGTGAAATTAGGCATTTTCACGTCGTAGTCGTGCAAATACGGGAAAGAAATGTACAAAAGAGTGTGATGAACGTGCGAAGTTGTTGTTTTGCTAATTAAACCTATTGTTTTTTTGACGTTCTTGTTGTCGTCCGCGTCGTTGGATCTTAATATATAAATTACGTAATTAAAACTAACCTTTCCAAAATCTTAATATATCTTTATGTTTGAAACAACAGAGTAAAAGGCAAATTAGTTATTAATAACCATTAAAATATATTTATCTAAATATTATGATCTCTTATAAATATAACAATATTTAACCGGAAAATACATATTGATTTATATTACTAGACAATATTGTTTAAACTTTGTGAGAGGAAATAATTTTTCACGAAAATTAATTAAGCCAGCGTGGCAGGCGCCGGTTAATGTTTTTGGGCTGGGTGGGCTTTCAATAAGCACAGACGACCGACGAAACGCGTCGGCTGCTTTTTTTCTAGAAAGAACTGAGAAGCAACTAGTATGAATAACGTCGTAAATAAAAGAAGGATCATAAAATCTGAATGAACTGGTTTTGCCGTATGCTTTAGTCATGTGAACGCTATATTCCAGTCAAATTTTCACAAGTTAATAGGTTTAGGCAGAATTCGTTTAAGTGCAAAGTACGTAATTTAATTTTCATCATTCGTTCGTTGGTGGTAGGAATTGATTGGCCGATAAATCGAAAGTTGAATGAAAGCTACATTTTTTGGAACGAAAAACACGCTCTCTTGTCCTTAATTCAATACCCAGAAGCTGGAGATCACATTTTAGGGCTTTGAAATCTCAAAATATTCTGGGGAAGCAGGCCCCCAACCCCCCTAGAAAAAGGGGACTAACGGCCCCTTGTTGATACAGTCAGCTACTCTATTCAAACCTCTATTTTTATAGCGCGCGAGAAAAACACGCGAAGGGGAGAGGAGGCCTCCTCTCATTTCATCCGTGCAATCGCGCTCGCGTCCTCGAAATTTCTCCCTTCGCCCTTACAAACCCGGCGCCTTCAACGCAGGCTACTATTAATTCTTTTAATTAACTAAACATATGCATTTGTTTGCATCTCAGACTTCTCAATCATTACTTTAATAACACAGGAATATCGTCTGTTATCATCTAAGAATCCAATAATCCGAGATTTTCGCGCGTTAGTTGGCAACTAGCCTGTTCACAGACCCTTAAATAATGGTAATTGAACTGAGTGGAGTGCAATTTGGCAATTAAGAAGACAATTAGGGGTCAGTTCAAGCTTGAGCCATAACCACATTGGTCTCCTTAGGGGGATTAATTTTAATTTTCCGACGAGCATCCCGGTCAATACCTCCATCGCCGGGAATGTTGGCATGTGAGCCACAAAAAAATTTCAAATTAAGGCTTTCAAAAAATGTGATTTTCAACACTTTTTTTAATTAATACACTCTTATAAAGTTTATCGTGTCCCATTGTAAATGTCTTCATAGATACAGATGAAAACATTTTCGTGCATCAGCATTTGAACCGCTCAGATATAAAACGTTTACGTTGAAATTAAAATCTCAATTTTATATCTTCTAAATGTAACACCAACATTTCATTTGCCATTTATTTTCAAAGTCTCGACTTGAGCCTACATTGTAGAGGTCACTTCAATAAAACCGGGGGATTCGTTTTGCCTCTTCTTTCCCTCTCGTCTCGTTGTAAAGAGTTATAATTTCAGTGTCTTCATCGAAACGTTGCCACACACCGCGTGCGTTAAACATGTTTCTTGTTCCCCACATTCCCTTCTTCGAGTGAAAATAATGATAAAACTTGGCAACGCGCAACCTCTCCACCTCCATTTTCGAGAGCAAAACTCTGTTCATAGATTTAAAACACCTTACAGTAAGCACAAGCCAGAAGTCCACAGAATATTCGTTAACAAAAGCAAAAACATGCAAATGGTGGCGGGCACGTGACCTGAAGCATGTGTTAGAAAAGGGCGGGAAACTTGTATTTAATTAGTCCCAAGCTCGAGAAAGCACCCGACTTTAAGAAAGGCTGGAAAATTATACACCAGCAACCAAGCGGAGAAAACAAGCAACTCGTGTTAAGCGATGAATAGCTGGTTGGTTCTTCTAACCGTGCGACAACTGATCTTGCCCACGGGGAAGCAACTCCTCGGCATTATGTGTTACCGATTTTCCCCAAATGAAATTGCCTCGGGGAAATTTACATGGATACATGGAACGAACGAATTTCCCCTAACAGTTCCTGAGGTTATTCTGTCGGTAAATAAGAACCCAAAGCGGGTCAACCAATCAAGAGAAAGTGAAATGTGCCAAACAGTAGGCATCACGTCAACTACGAGCTGTGTTTATCTTGGCGGATTTCTTGCACAGGGACTAGGCACATCAAAACCCAGAGCGAGTCTCCCAGGGCAAGGGAAACTGGGAGGGAAATAAAAGGACTAATATAACCTTAACTTTTGTTAGCTACCTAATTAAAACAAAATGGTCAGTTCCTTTCAACCAATAACAAAAGCATTACAAGAAAGCGTGTCTGTCCTTACCCTTTCTTTTCTGGGTTAATCTCGTTCCCAGATCACTAGTGGACGCTTTGTTCGTCCACAGAAATCAGAAATTCACCATTTGCACATCTCCCATAATACACCTTGTTTGCCATCCAGAATTTTGCATAACCTTTGTTTTTAATTCTCCTGGGCATTACAGTGGTCCAAGAGAAATTGAAGACACTGCTTATGCACAACTTTTTTTGGGGGAGGGGCGGGGGCAAAAAAGGTGCATTGTGGGAGGTGTGTAAATGGAGAATTCAAGTGTTGCGCCTACGCATGCCAGACCTACCTATCAAGTAGTTCCCAGTCTTCTCCTCCCCATGTGGTACGAAATTCCTTGAAGTTCATTCCACCCACACGAGTAAAGTCTGCTTTATACATTGCAAACAGACCATAACCCTGAAGCTCCCAAAAACCTGACAAAGCAAATCAAATATAAGCTGGCATAGCTGACAAAGATACAACATAATGTGTTTGTTTTCAGTTGTTGATTACATAGTTTATTTTAGGGGCTTTTTACATGGAGGGAGGAGGATCCTAGGAGGTAGATCATCTTAGCGCCATATGTTTTCTGTAATCAGTTTACATGCAAAGGGTTGTACATGTTCTTCGCTGACCTCGTACAAGGATCTTCCTAGCTGACAGGTAGGAAATCCTAGCAAGAGGAAGATCCTACAACGCTCCACGTGAAATGCTTTCGCTAGAAAGATCCTAGTACTAAGGCTGTCGGTAGTTCAGTGGGTAATCATGGCAATAAAGTTTGGCGTTACCAAGTTGTAAGAGACTTTTCATGCGCGGTTTAAGGATTCCAGTGAAGTCTCTATAGTGACCCGCACGACTTTACCGCTTGTTGCTTGGGCCTGCCGCCGAAGATCTGTCGTCCTGCGGACGACACCGAAGCATTCCACTATACGCGAGAAAAAAACCTCTGGTACAAAGGATACACGCGATCTTTTCCTTGTAGAGATCCTAGAAATGACGACAGAGTAAGATAGGCTGTGGTTGTTAGAAAAGAAGAAAAAGTATTTACCATAAGGTAATGATGGTGAGAAGCCACAATGAAGTCGGGCCACAATTGGAGCAAATGCCATCTTACCGAGAACACAATGCTGAAAACCAAAACCAAAAAAAAATCACACAAAAGCCAAGTTGATGAAAACCTGTATTCAATGTATAAACAATGTCAAGAGCTCGTTCTGGATCGGAACTTATGAAAGGTCGACAGGGAGCAAGTCTAAACCCCAAAGCCTTGGGTTGTTTCACTTGAGTGTTAGTGCAATGTATGTTGTTTTCTCGAGTAAGCGCTGCCCTCTTAAAATCGCCGCGTTTGGGACAAAAAAAATTAAATTAGCGCCGTCCTCGAAAAAGCCCCGATATGATAAAATCAACAAAAGACGTTTTAAAACTCTGTTAGTTTAATGAGCAAAATAATAAAACTGTAGCTAAGACAGTTCTTTGTCGCGTCCAACTTTCTAATTAACGCCACCCTCGAACATTTGAGCGGTGAAATTAATACGAACCGCGGCGCTTATTCGAGTAAATACGGAGCGATAGCCGGCATATAAAAAAAAGTATAACAATGAAATCAATAAATCTACAGTAGACGAAGGAAGTCGAATACTAAAATTGCAGGTCTTTTTTCAAGCTTCTAAGTTAACTTAACGGCTACTTCTTACCTTTCTAATTATGCCAACCATATTGTTTGGAATTTGTAGATGAAGATCGCACATGAATATAATGTCACGAGGATTCTGAAAAGGTAGAAAAAAAGTCACGAGTAAGCACAACGGCCAACTCACCTTCGGTAACATTAGAGACCTTAAGATACACCGTTTCAGTGTACGAGTACGGGTAAATAACCGGTACGCATAGCCGTAAATAAGGATAGATTGCCTCTAACCCCGGATAAACGAGTAGGCTACCGGTTAGAACGGTAACGCCATCATCTCAGCTGGGAAATAACGGTCGCCTTTTATTTAACTACGCGGCCAACACGATCGCCTAACCGTACCCGTAGACAGAAACGGTGTATCTTAAGGTCACTATTGCTTATGCTGCATAACCGGCGCGAACGCCAGTAATTCATGAAATCAATGTTCTTCAACAAGGGAAAGAACACCGTGAATATATATTAATGAGGGGCGAATTATTGTACAAACCTTTACTAAGGCTGCGCCAACTTGAATACCGAAAGCTCTTTGGAACGCTCCTTTAAGTTTTCTTACTTTGTACCTAAATAAAAGAATGGTTAGTTAATGGTTAGCTCAGTTTACATGTATTGCTTTGACAGAAAGAAACAGACCAGCACGTTTGGAACCAACGTGATGGTTGACGACGCCAAAAAGATTAGATAGCGCTGTCTAAGAGCCTATTTCCTTATTTTGTGACACAAGTAGTTAAGTGGAAAATCTCTCTAAAAGTTGTATACATGATTAAAGAAAAATAAAAACACATACCTTTTTAACCCGCTACGCTTTAACGCCGCAACCACATCAATATCAGTGCTGCTGAAGTCCACCAGGATAATATTGACATGAGGGTCCTTCGTCTCAGAGTACAGCTGAAATGTGACAAAACCAAGATAAAAAACTTGAGAGAGTAGATAGATAGATAGATAGACAGACAGACAGACAGACAGACAGACAGACAGACAGACAGACAGACAGACAGATAGATAGATAGATAGATAGATAGAAAGATAGATAGATAGATAGATAGATAGATAGATAGATAGATAGATAGATAGATAGATAGATAGATAGATAGATAGATAGATAGATAGATAGATAGATAGATAGATAGACTGGGTTTTATTGAGTCACTTTGCAGAATAAACTACCCTGCTAGCAGAGTCACTTCGATCTTCCCTAGATAAGTCGGAAAAGAGTAAGCGACTCGTTCCTTCCTCTTCCCGACTTATCTAGGAAGATCGAAGGATAAAAATTTATTTTCTTAGAGCAAAGAATATGTCTCACAGAAAGTCCTTATAATTTTTCTCCTTTGAATAAAATAATGAGGGAAAGGTCAAATTGGCAAATGTGGCTGTAGTCTACCGGTGCCATTATGCACACAGACAAAACCCATGTAAACCTAAAGGATTCTCCACTACAGACACAGAAGACAAAGGGCTTTAGATATTCGACATAGTGCGCAGTTGCTTTTATTATACTTCATAGATAGGCAGCTGTATGAACTGTTACCTCCACCATGTTGTTAATGAAATGCTGTACCCACTTCCCTTGGTTCTTAACTGTAATAAATAAAAACAGCGTCGATTAAAACAGTGGCTAAGAAGAAAGGATCAACAACTCGTTACTCGTTAATTTTTTGTCGCTAAGGCGATAATAGAGACCTTCTGGCATTTCCCGCGAATCGCGAAAGTCAAGAAGTCACTTGACTAGTACCTTGCCGTCAGGTTTGCGGTTTGAGGTTCACGATTACACGGCTAGGTCACTCTCTAGATGTAAGTGTTTATTCGCAAGGTTTTTGCGCCTAAAGCATCACAATCCCACTTTTGAAAGGAAATACTGCCGTTTAGAAGTATTTCGCTTATTAATTATCGAATTCTTTTTCATAGAAACATAATTTTGAACTGTGGACGTGAAGTGAAGCAGCCCCAGGCTACTACCCGCGAATCTCAAGTCCCAAATATGAGCAGACGTGGACCCGCTAACACAAAAACGCGACGGGTTTGCCGTTTGCGGAAAGGTGGACAAACGTCGACCTTAAGGTCTCCAATGCCTTCTGAAACTTGCGCTTGCAAACGTCAGATTCAAGTTGAAATTTTCGCAAAATAGAAAATGAGCAGTCGGTAGATAAAAACTGTCTAAAAAAATCCTTATTGACAAAACTGGCGTGAGACTAAAATTTGCGTAGAAGTAAAGGGAAAAATTGGTCTCGAGGTACAAATTCGCGTTTGCCGTTTGCCTTAAACGAGTCTCTAACTCTCCCTAATGTTTGGAAGGTTGCGCGTGAACGTAAGAGACGTAACGGAAGCGTAGCCTAGCTTAACTTTTACGTGTACGTGCGGCTTTTCATACATTCTCTCTATTTTATTAACATGCGTTCGCATATAAAAATAAGGCGACACTGGAAATCCACCTTAAGGAAACTTTTAGGCTCGATTTCCGCCGTCTCCCGGGTCCGGTCTTGCGGGCTCATTTTCCCGAACAGCGGCTGGTAATCGAGCCTAGGAAACTTTTCGCGGGTAGCTGATATTGTTGTGCGTACTTTTCCCAATACTCTTATGGGTGAAGGTACTAACCCGGTATAATAATATGCACCGTGGCGTGTTGATCTAAGGTAAATGCCTCGGGTAAACAGAATTCCGTAGTCCCCAGCTTCTGGTACACGAACTGTGTCAGACGTACCGAAGAATCTGCGGGAAGAAAAACGGCGAGCGTTAAAACGCGCCACGCTGCTGATAAAATAAAACTGCTAACAACAAAACCTTTAACTTTCATGCAACCTTCAGAGCACTCAATTCAAATCCATCCTGTATAAATATTATGTGGACGCGCCTTAGAACATAGCTACCACCCAGAGGACCCACGATCCTGGAACACCGTCTGTCCGTCATGTTACGTTTCACGTTCTGTGTCTGTCCGTCTCCATTGTTGTTTTTAAGAGGCCACTTCCGAGTCAAGTAACCCTCACTTTCGAAATGACGCCAAGTGCACAACCTTTCTTGTGAAAATGAGTTTTATTTGCATGGGAATAAACAATCATTTCCATATCAAAGGCTGAGCACTTAACCTCGTTTTGATACAGAGGCCAGGGGGAACTCGGAAATGGCCAATTGATTTATGTACTTTTAATGTTTTTTTACATGTTTTTTAAGCAACGGGGGCACTATAATTGGCTTACCGCTTTTATTGCATCCCTGCTTTATCCATATTTATTATTTTTTGCTTTTGCACATTTTTATTATCCTTTTTTTCTGTATCATATAAAAGGCAAGACGAAGCTAATGAAATATTATAAACTAATGATTGACGATACTTACTTTTCCCCTCCATTTTCAGTTCCTTTAAAAAACAAGGATATCTTACAGTAAGTACTAACAAACCACACAACACAAGGTAAAGAGGTTTTCTGAAATAAACTTCTCAATATTCACTTACCACGTCAATAAGATATCTGTCACCTTGTATAACATCATGATTTTCTTCCACATCAATAATTTCTTTTAACGAATATTTGCTGAAATATAAACAACGAAACGTTGGCCGGGACAATAGCCCACCTTCGATTAATAAAATTCTTATGCAATTTTTTTTTTTTGGGGGGGGGAGGGGGGAAATAAGGCGCATTATGCGAGATGTGAAGGGGCTCAACCTCGTTCTCAGGGTTCTCTCTCTTGCTTGGAAGGACTGTGTCATGGCTGTCTAGTTCATCTTATTTTTAATGCAAATTACGCGTCCTTACTTCAATCAGTAATTGCATGTAGATGACAAAATCAGAGCTTTCTGTCAAACAACTATGTCTCCCAAACACTTTATCAAACGTTACAAAAGGTGTTGCCCTAACAAGTTTTCAAAAACCATAACTGCAATCCCTTAAAATCGTCGTCAAATTGCCCATCCGTGCCTCCTTTTGTGTTTACTGTGTTTTTTTATACCTTCTTTACATGTTTGTATAGGTAATAGCATGATTTGTAGTGACATTTGGCATATATACCACGAGTGATATTTCGAAATTGTTATACGTAATTTCACGAGCCGTTAGGAGACTGAAATTTGAGACAATTTTGAAATATCATGACTGGTATTTATGCCAAATATCACGTACAAAACATGCTATTATTTGTTTATACTACTACTCACAAAAGTTTTGTAATTTTCAAATGTAGGTATTTCAAATTAAGCGGAAATAACACTGCACTAAGCCAATCAAATTGCAGAAATTTCTCATGTAGTTGTATAATGAGAAGTTATTTTTATGTTCCACTTAATTGGTGGAAGTGACACACATCAGTGACATACCCGCCTGTGGTCCGTGTGCCACTTTTTGCTGAACAGACACACGGCAACGGAGCAAAATATATGCCCAATTTTTTCAATTTCCAATCCATGTCCATGCATCCTTGCCATCCGTAGCAACAGACGACAGGAAACAGTTTCAACTTAAATATAGTCTTAAATAACAACATTGTGTGGAATCCTCACACAAAGCGTAACACTGGTAAATTAGAGGCTGTTCAGAGCAGGGCAACAAGGTGAATATTAAAACGTGATGACGCAAACGAAACTAGATTATCTAAGTTGAATATTGAATCATTATCTGATAGGAAATTTTTAAGAGATGTTGTTTTTTTCATTTAATTTAATTAACGGGAAACCAATATCATATATTAACTGCTTCGATAAACTCTTCTTTTGTATAGATCGGAATATCGACTATAATTTAAGAAAGAATTTTTCACAGGACCTATTATGGATTCAGAAGCGAAAAAAGTTTTAGCTGTTACACAATGTAAAATGATGGTGACATAGCCCCTTTAAGGAAAGGGCTTTATCAATCAAGATGGATTTTGTACCTGTCGGTAGCTTTTCTCAAGGCGCGTACGTATTTATTGACAACACTGACAGCAACCTGCATAATACAAAAAATAATATCAGCTTGATAGCAACCTTAATCAGAGTTTCAGCGACAAAAAATTAAAATAGGCCACTCTTCCTTAACTCTTTCACTCCGAGAACGGACAAACCACGGTCTCGGAACAAACGATTTTAAAAGTGCCTTCCTAATGCACCAACCTGGTTCCCAGGGTCCTCTCGAACTCGTCTCTCTCGCTCTGGAGGAGAAGGATCCTGGGAACGAGGCGGCCTGATGTACATCGTACAAAGTGAACTTAATTTTCGAGGAATAACAGCAACAACGACAAAACTTTACTCAAGCACCCAGTTAATAATTACAATAATTTGTCCACCCCCAAGTAGAAAACTAATCGAGGCCAAGGTGGGGGAGGGACACACAGCGAAAAAATGCTCTGTAGATGACACTGTGGATGTAATCTTATAAGTGTGGCCACTATAGTAAAGCTACTGAGCATGCGAGACGACAGCGGGGTAGTACCGTTGTTTGGTGTTCACCCAAAGCAGCAATCCTACCCAGCTGAACCAAACTTGGGTTTAGCTGTTTGAGTTGCGTGAGAGACTGGGACGGTTTTGTCTCGAATTACACTATGGGAAAGCTATGGGATGGTTCTGGTAAAGAGGTGTGGGAAATGTGGCCTACACTTGTCCCAGTAGCAGTCACTTAAAGCAGTTTGGCGGAACACCAAACTACATAAGGAACAAAAAAAATGTATAATGACCCTCACTTTCCTAATTCATAACTAAGCCAAACATACTTACGTCATTATTCAACAAGAGATTTCCATCGCTTGCGCATTTTGTGCTGTTTTGATGGAAAATCCAAGCGTTATAATCAGGGACTCTATATAAGTTAGGTATCTTCATCTTAAGTCCAAATCTCCTGTACACTGCCTCTGCAAGGGTACGCGAGTTAATGTGCTGGTTATACAGTTGCACCGCCTCGGCCATCCTGCGTATAAACTCTCTCGCCGCGTTTATCCGTGTAAACTGATCGTCTTCCTTGTCCACCGGGTAATATTGTACGCCCCCTGTTCGCTGTCGAAATTTCACGTAAGTAACATTACTTACTCGAGATCTCTGAGCACGTGAATTGTACGAATGATAATCACCAAGGTAATAATTGCTTTGCACAGTTGACTTATCGTTCTGTTTGTTCACTAAGGACGCGTCTCTTTCTGTATTGTAACTTAGCAGCTTTCGTCGAGTTCCAACTTGTGAAGTCACAATAACTCCATTTGAAGGGTCTCTTACAGAATCGGGGGAGTCTTTGTCACGTGATCTATCACGTGTATGTCTGTTGCCGCCACCTGCGTTGTCTTCCTTTAATCTAACCTGTGAACCTTGAAATTTTTCCTTAGTTATTTTATTATCTCTGTTGAAATTATAGCTACTTTTCTGATTGCGCAGCGACGCGCTTCTTTTCTCCACAGTTTTCCTTTTCGCTTTTTTCTTCATCTCAAAAACTTTCTCAACGTCTTTTTCTAATACAGAATCCGATGCGGCATTAGAATGTACCACCGTTTTAACGGGCCGAGGTGGCGCATCTCCAACCTCTTGACTCCGTCTCTTTATGTCTCTTATGTCCATTTGCATTTCACGTAATTCTTCTTCGGCTTGCTGTATTTCGGCCGCACCTTTAGCGAAAGAAAGGGGTACCAAGCCATTTTCAGTCCGAAACACCATTATACTGCCATTTTCGTACAGACTTTGATCTCGCTCTTTCACGTCCAGTGAAGGGAGTCTGTTGCCATGGGAATCCTTTAATCTTGATGATGCGCAGTTGTCATACTGCTTCATGTGGGTAAGGTCGGTATGATCATCGGGATAAATCGCAGTATCATGTACAAGATATACGCCTTCGTAACGCTTCAATTTGAAGTCCACTTGATAGCTGGGTTTATAGGGACAACTCGGAAATAACTTTTCTATGTCACGCTCATCCACGAATTCTGCAGTGTGAGCCTTGTCACGCAAATCGTCAGATCCAAATTGGAAAACATTAGGATCAAGCCTTGAAGTTCTGTAATGTGAATGACTGGGAAGATCTTGCGGTATAAATTGTGCATAAACCGTAACGTCTTTAGAAGCTCTTTCATCGTCAATAAACAATGATATCGACTTTCCAGAAAGATGCCTATAATGGCTCTTGCCGGGAATTTTCCAGCCAACAAGCACATGATCTTGAAGGCTTCCCTGTTTGTGCAATACTTCGATAAAATATTTCTGGCCTTTTTGAAGAAACACAGGACGAGACATTTGAGTCTTGTACTTTGTGAACTGTGCTATTTTAGTTTGAAAAGTTCCATGGAGAAGAGTACGGTCCCCAACCCAAGCTATGAGTTTAACGTTGGAGGGATTCTCGTCCGAGCTCAACCAAAGTTCTGAACTATCGTCTGAAGAAATAGCAAAGCTGTAATTGCCTACAAAATGATCACAAAGAAATTGAACTACTGCCACTAGAATGCGATGTCGCCGTCAAAAGGCTGTCTGCAGCTCAAATACAGGCTCGTATTCTGTCTACATAGTTAGGTAAAAAAAAAGATAAGACTTTCACATTTCAAACGTCCAATTTAGGGGTCTGGAGAGGTTTTCAGGAGTAAACCCAACACCTTTGTAATGGGGTGTGGGGGGAGGGGGTTAAACTCGACTTAAATTTATCACTCGGGAGAGTTCCTTTAAATACTTAATAGTACCCCCAGGGGAGTTTGCTCGCAGGTTACCTTAGGGAGGGGGTGGGGTTTCGGATCCTTTCGAACCCTTCCATGGGTATGCCCGAAAAAGGCGCAAAAATGTTACTCGGTGTCGTATTCGCAGTTCGTCGCAGAACAACTTACATCAAAGAAAAAAAGAGGGTCAGAGAAATAAAAAAGGGCAGTTGTGGACCTGAATAAAAGTTGGATAAAAAGGCAGATCGAATCGAGTACAGGTAAGATTTTCTTAATTGTTGTTCTTAGTCATAAACTTAGTTTTTTCTTACTGTGTAGTTTGTTGCTGGGGTGAAAAACCTTCGCGCAAATAACTTCGGTGTGAAATTTCAGGAGATAAAAATAAAGCAACGTTAAGCTTACTGACATATCAAAATTACCGGACTGAGGAGGATGAATGTAGCCAAATATTCGCTGTCCGTAGTCCTTTTCCCAGTGACGAATAAAAAACTTTTTAACAGTAAGCTGAACATCTGGGTACAAGGGAAAGAACTTGTTTCTTCGGAGGTCGTGAATAGTGCTACCACACCAGGCCTGCCATATATGCACATTGAGAGATCCCAACATCTACAACAAAAGGATCAAATATTTATAGTTACATCACTTGTAGAGTTGACAGGAAAATAATCAAAGGAGCTATGTCATGCTCTTTGCTATCTTTTAAACCCATTCGCCCTTAAACCACCCATAACCACCCGTGCGGATCCACCGCCCCGCCCCCCCCCCTCTACCACTTGTGACGTCATCAGTTTTAACGATCAAGGATAACTTTGTCCGCTGACTTGAACAGGGTGAAGAGATCTTTTCATCCATATCAGAATGAGCACGATTCAGTCCAGAAGAACGAAGAAAATTGCAAAAAAAAACATGTAACATTGACCCGAAAATTTCTTTGAAATCTTGTTTCACTACCCACCTACCTTTCTCTAATCCTAAGATCCTATTAAAAAGCTTTTCCCACCAAAGTGAAGCCTACTAAATGCCGAGCTAAAGAAAAAAAGAGGTAAGAAAAGCGAAAGAATAGGGGAGGAGAAAAAGCGACAAGAAAAAGTCAAGACTGCAGTGCTGTGTCGCGGTTTGAGATATGGAAACTAGCGTTCACCTGTCAACTAGTCGAAAATCTCGATATTTTGCTTTCTGCGCATGCCTGAACTTCGCAAGCTGATAATTATTTTGCATCTGGATCGGAAGGCCGCAAAGTGTGCGACCTGTAAACAGCTTTTGGGTAAGTTTTAAAAGCTCGTTATAGCCAGACATGTACAGTGACTCCCGGAGAAGAATGAGTTAAGCAAAGTTCCTGGTGTTTTTTTTAGAAAAACCACTTTTCAGCGAAAAACAACCTTACCAAATCTGGCTATTAAGCCAAATCTTATGATAAAAATCGATTAGAGGCGATTTTTAGGTTTTTTGATTAAAAAGCCAAAACTTGTTGTTATTTAAGACAATATTTAGGCAATGAAACTGTTTCCAGCCGTCTGTTTCAAAGGATGGAGAGGATGAAAAGTTGGCCCATTTTTTCAAGTTTAAATGCTGTAAAAATCACCCAGAGATTATCTTGGTTGGTGCTCCCTGATGAAATGTGTTTGATAACTTCTTCATAACTCTACAAGAGCATTTTTTATGGGTCTTATATAAAGGCAATTTGAGGTAATGACTTCAGCACAAAATTTACCTAAAACAGCAACATCATCTTGACATCCCTTTTGAGCTTTCACCAAAAGACAAGAAATAAGAAAATGGAATCCAATACAAATTCTGGATTTGTACTGGATTAGAAAAGAGAAAAATGCCCACATGAACATTCCCCCTTTTCAGTCTACTCAACCCTTACTCTTACCTTGTCCCAATAAGAACCTTTAGAGTGGAGTAACAAATAAAACATTATGTGAAAGGAATTTTCAAACCAAAGTCCATTTGCAGTTAATAACCCCTCCATCCTCCATCCCCCCCCATTGAGGACATACTTTAATTGTTATTTGTCCCCTTAAAAAAATAGTAAAAGGGCCGACACAAATTCTAATAAAATATTCATATATTAATATCCCTCCCTGCTCCCACTGATGACATAATATTATTTTTGGCCCCCTAAAAGATAAAGTGGATTAAGAGCCAACAACATTTTTCTTTTCCTTTCGAAAAATGTAAAAATTTCCCCAAAATTCTCGGAAAATATGCATTTATACACTTTATGAGGCAAAGGTAGTGGGTAGTGGGTGAGGAAGGGGAAGAAAAGTAAGGGGAAGGAAAAAAAAGGTTACGACCGTCTTTGTAACGGCCCTGGGTTTTAAAAATAACAGGCACCTACTTACAAAGGTTACTCCAACCCTTTACAACTGCCAAACAGACTAAGACAGCTCTAATCAACTCACTTTCTTTGTCCATGTAAAGGTCTTCCATGTAGGAGAAGCATGTATAAGATGATCAGCATGTTTTGGCCCTGAATTTTTCTGCAATGGCTTGCTCTTGTCCAGACCTTTAGATGCATTTGATAAAGTTGAAGGTACATCTATGCTAGCATTGGTTCTTGTTCTAGCACTGGTGGTAGTGTTAGGTGTTTGGCTTTCATTGAACACTTGCTTGAGCTGTCTGTTTTCAACATGATTCATCTTTGTTCCATTGGCTGTCTTCCTCTTTTCTGTGAATGAGCACCAAATGAATGAAAATGAGTTCCTAAATATAAAGGAGGACTTATAAACAAGTGTTCAGAAAACTCAAAGGCTGGCAACACCTTTCTAAAGAGTGACCTGAAGGGTCATAGTGTGCTAAATACAATTTCCCTTAATTGCTCCCTGTTGCTGGGAACATTTTGTGAGCAAGATGCCTTCATTATGGCCTCAATAATTACATTTTGGCATCAAGATGATAACCACACTTTTGTGTTCGACTATCTGGCAAGGGGTCTACCGACAAGGGACACTGGACCATATGGAAAGCAATTTAAAAAATATACCGGTATACTTGGGATCAGAATTAGATGATAAAAACTGTTACTGCTGGGGTTGTGGGATTAAGTGAACATTTTTATTAGGATGTAAATGCTGAAACACTCTTTTGGAGGCCTTCCTAGGAGCATGTTTGGGTAGGTGCTGCCAAGGCCTTTGAACATTGCCCTCTTAACAGGGAAACCATTTTGCTAGCCTGTTTAAGACAAGAGACCTTTTTTCATGACCTTAATTCATTTCTCACAGGATGAAGAGTTGAAGAATAAACTGCCACACCACATAATTCATGGGCAGATCCAGAAAATTCAGCGAGGGGGAAAACATATCACAGAAAAAGGGGGTGTGGTTCCCTGAGTCCCACCAAGTACACCCATGTAACTAAATTTTTTAAAAAAATGTGTTGGTACCACACAAGTGGACACCCCATTCAAGACACCGAAGAGTCAAATTGTACACCCTGTGGTGATTCAAGATCCCTAAAACCACATCCTTTACAGTGCCACATACATGTACTCTTTTGGACAAAAATAAGGGAGTGCCCCTCGCCCACCCTTACAGGTCAGTGAAGAAGATGATGGATATCTTTGAAGAGAGGCAAATGTCATATTTACAAGCAAACCCCCTGCATACATTAACAACATGATTTCTTTATGTTGGTGAGTTTTTTATCCAATTAAACAAAGATTCAAGTAGCATAAATAGCAAAATTGCCTATTACTTTTTTCTTAAACTCAATCATTCAGTAACATACTGTAGTAATTGTTGTTAATCTCTGCCTGGTGTTTAGCTTTCTTGTTAAATGCTCTTTTCCAGTCATCTTTGTCATCAGCAGCATTTTTACTTCCAACTAGATGGTTGAATTGTTTCTGTAAAGAAAGAGTTTAGTCAGTTTTCCACCATGAAATTGACTACGTTTAGCATGCTTGGAAATTTTGATACTGGTGAATTCAATTTCATGCTAAATAATCTTCAAAAACCATTATCTGTTATTGATGTGTTAGCAATGTGACTTAATTAACCCTTGAAACCCTAAGATCAAAATTTGAATTCACATTGTTGCCCCTATTCATTTCCTACAGATGTAGTAGGGAGAAGTTGATAAAATATCAAGTAAATTCAGCTTGTGTGATCATGTCCATAATTCTCATGACCACTCTGTTTTTCAAAAAATTGATATTACAAGGAGAAATTTGATGCTGATCACTCTTAAGGCTTAAAGGAATAAAGGAGATGGTAACTAGCACTGGATACAGTACTGTTTATCTCCAGAGATCATAATTCTAAAAGCAGAGGCAGAGTTTGCATTTATTCATAAAATCACCTTGAATATAAACTTTACCCACAATGTTAATTTTTAAATTGAAATGAAATTGAGTCGCTTTTGCTTTAAATCATTTCTTATTTATTTTATTAAAGACTTTTAATTTAGGAGAAAAATATTAACCTCAGATTTGTTTTTCAATTCTTTTTTATAGAATAAGAAATCTTCTTAATATCATTTTTAGAGTGTCAGGGACTCAGATTTTTTCTCAGATTTTTTCTTTGTCCCATGCTCGTGACAAGCTGATTATTTCATTTTTTTCACAAAATAAATTATTTCGGTAAATTGCAAAAAACTGTAAAATCAAAAATGCTTAAAAAGCTATATATGGTAGTTTAAGATCAGAAAGTTAATATAATTCTGCAAAATAATTTATGTAAGTGACTCTGTACCTGTCTGTCTAAATTAAATTTAACCATTTTATATGTGCATAATCTGCCTACCAAACGACAAAAAGCAATTTTACTTGTACAGGTGAGAGTACTTTGCAAAGATAGAAAATAGACAAATCCCACAGCTTATCTGTCTTTATCTTGGATTTAAATAGCCTGCGTGGCTGGCGGTATTGTGTGGGTGCGAGATTAAAGTTTTGGCGGCGGAGCCGTGTTCCAAAAAAAAGCAGTAGGGACGAGGTATTTCTCGCGGCTTCGCCGCTCGTGACGGCTCCGCCGTCAAATCTCACTCGACTATATTACAACGGCTCCGCCGCCAAATCTCACTCGACTACTACACAATACCGCCAGCTACGCAGGCTAGGATTTAAATGATCTTTCAGCTTCGTATAACCCAAAAACTTTGGGAAAATATTTTTCAGTAAATGTTAATGGAAAGAAGTGATTAGCAGTAATTTGCATTCTGTAGCAGTGGTATTAAAAAGTCTAATCAATTTTCTATTATATTAGTCATAACGACCATATCAAAAGGACCGGAAATGGGTCGCACAATACCGACAACAAAGTCAATATCATTCTAGGAAATAACCTTGATTCCCGACTACATACTCGCGATATATTTAAACGTCCTCACTATAAAGTCTTTTATTTTATCGCCCTGGTCTCTACTAAACCCTGAATCGTGTAGATCATATACTTATTCCTCATATACCAAGGTTAATACTTCAAAATACCTTAACTAGAGTGAAACTTCATGCGAATGAAAAAACTAAATACTACCTGAGGAGTCACGATTTAATGTTAATATATCTCAAATATATCGGGAAAAATGTTCCTCCTTTAATTTTTAGAGTTGAAGTGTTGGCGAAAAAAGCAGTATTGAAAATAGACAAGATCTATATTATAGGGCGCGATCCATTCGACCAAAATTTCCGGAAATTTCGGTCCAAAACTCAATGGATCGGTTCGGTCCAACCGGAAAAGTTTCGAAAAAACTGGTCCACCTTTTGAGGTGGTCCACTTTTCCCGGTCGGACCGGTCTGAATTTTGGTTGAATGGATCGCGCCCATAAGCTCTTCTTTTTGGTGAAAGAAATATGTTTTGCATGACTTTGAAATCGAATGTCGACAGTTTCGTAAAAGGATGCGGAGCACGTATCTGTCAGACTCAAATTGACGAGCTTACTCACTTCCTGTTGCAAAAATGTAAGTTTAAGTGCACGAAAACGGACACTAAACATGAGAAAGGACTTATCAAGCGCACTTCACAGCACAATATAAGATTATGAGAAAGGCAGTACACTGTATCACTGTTTAGCATCAGTACTTCACTCACTTGAAATTCCCGCTCGACCTTGGCGAAAAAGCTTCCAAAATTGTCATTTTCTTTCGCACCATCAAAGAGTTGTCCTAGATGTGAGAGACGATGTGTACTCACGTTAACTCGGAGATTTTCACGGTGATTACCCATGGAGTAAATTCAAAACAATTGACAGCATTAAAAGACTGATGTGAAGTTGGTCACGCGTGTTAAACATTACATTTTTAATTACTTACCTCTCCTCTTCAAATCGAACTTTTCTGAATCCGATATTTCTCTCCATTGAAGAATCAAAAGCAGCGTGGCAACAACAGCAGCAAGAATTGAAAACTGGATTAAGCGCTTTACTCTCCGGATGGCAACCATGATGTCTGCGACCAAAAATGTGTTTCATTTTAGCCCATGTTTTCTTGCTTCATTGCCCGTGGAGAAATCCTTACAATTTATTTCACCACGATCTCAGTATATACCACCATGTACACAGTGCAGTTGCTCGGAAACCGGTTCATGGAATCCCAATTTTCTACTGAACTTAATCATTAGTTGTTCAATCGTAAACATCAAAGCACTAATAATTAACTTCATAGCGGTGTTCAAGCATCCGGGACTTGTTATAAACGGAAGTAAAAATGATACTCCGCCGATAAAGACAATGTGTTTTGCAGGTTGAACAGATGGATGGATGATTTTCAATGACAAAATTAAAGACTTTAAACGAATAATGCCGTAAATTTGAATTCCAAATTATTACCTTTTGGTTCCGTTCATCAGTAGCATTTCTGTCATGTTCGATAGGGTAATAGGCTCCTGATTTTGATCAACCTTCACATTTAGTGCCAAGATTTTTTAGTCAAATTTGAGGTTTTTGGTTTCGTCAACTGTGGTTAAAAATTCATGGAGCGGAAGAGAGAGAGGACCACACTTCCCCTGCCCCCGCCAACAGGTTAAATTAAAAAAAAAAAAAAAAACGACGTGCTTTAGCTTTATTCAAAAGAAAAACAACGTCATCAGGCGAAATTCCCTATTTTGTTTCCTCAATTTTTTCCTCTTAAGCGCAAATGATAAAGGTGGTGAGGTCTTCGGAGAATCTTAAAAAAACAGTCGTTATCTTTGCGTGATCATAGGTAAGAAACTCCATAGCCTGTGGAAAACCTGCTGAGGTTTGAGGAACAGCACTTGGCGTCATATTTTTCAAAAACACAAACTTTTCACCGAATTCCAATCGGTATCTACAAGTAGCTCAAATGATCTCTATTAAGGGGGCTTACGTCTAAAAATATCTCACATCTAAATAAAATAGGAAGTATCTTCTACTTCCTGTTCTATGAAGATCTTCTAGAGTCAGTCAGCTGTTCAATGAAATGGTTCAATAATCGATCAACATACACGTACCACCGAGAATGGCGTCTGTGGTTTAGTGGGGCGGGAGTGCGCTCCTTGGACAATAGTATTTCAGACATGAAACGCTTTTCTCGAGAGACAAATAATAAGAAGAAATACCCAACTTTAGACGTTCGCTGCAGAGAGCATTAAATTGCAAAACCTTGCCCAAACGGCCAACAAGTGATTATGGCCTCTTAATGTCTGTTCCGTTTGAACCATGTTGAACAGATTTTGCAGCCTATTGGCGCTGCATATACCCGTACTCATTTTGCTTCAATAATCAGGGTGTACCTTCCCCCCTGGACACAGGCTGATCTTATGGCAGACGTGTTGGTGGCTAAGGCAAGACGTTCTATAGCTCTACTGGTGAATGTCATGTGTGACATTGATCGTTTTTACATTGTAATCGGGGGGGTACTCGATATATCCCTGGGTGGGGAGGTGCGGCGCGGCCCCTCATACCCTGACCCTGTTTAACTCATTGTGTTAAGACAAATATCGCTGATTTTCCTACCCTGTTTAAGACAGAATTCCGATTTTTGATACCCTGTTTAAGACAAAAATTGATAAATCGATACCCTGATTAAGACAAAAAATGATAAATTCGATACCCTGTTTAAGACAAAAATCCCGAAAAACATACCCTGGCTGGCCGTACGTCCCCATTAAGCCCTTATAAGGGAGTACCCACCCGGGCATTGTAACAACTGAAGTCGATAATCAGAACTGTATCAATCCTTTGTTTGCAAATAAGGACTAATTTTTGAAGTGAAATGAAGCTTTGCTTTGTATCGAGAATTTGTTCAATATGCTCTCAATAAACAACCCCTAACAGTAGAACCACCCTAACCACAAACATCGCCCACATTGCATATATTATTTAANGACAAAAATTGATAAATCGATACCCTGATTAAGACAAAAAATGATAAATTCGATACCCTGTTTAAGACAAAAATCCCGAAAAACATACCCTGGCTGGCCGTACGTCCCCATTAAGCCCTTATAAGGGAGTACCCACCCGGGCATTGTAACAACTGAAGTCGATAATCAGAACTGTATCAATCCTTTGTTTGCAAATAAGGACTAATTTTTGAAGTGAAATGAAGCTTTGCTTTGTATCGAGAATTTGTTCAATATGCTCTCAATAAACAACCCCTAACAGTAGAACCACCCTAACCACAAACATCGCCCACATTGCATATATTATTTAAGACTACTGCCGGCATTGCTGACAGCTGTGAGGAACTTGTGAAGGGCAGAAATAAATTACAAAAAAGAGTAATAACGAGGAGGATATTCCTGCGTTGTTACGAACAGGGGATCAGCCGTCGAGAAAACTGATATTCATGGAATCAACAAAATAAAATTTGAAATACAACCGAGCTTTTGGTTCTCGTACGAGTTCGTTGAACTGACTTGCCGGGAATTCGTTGAGTAGATGTTTTGAAACCAAGGTCGCCGGACCACAGTCCAATATGTTACTAATAAAAGAATACCGCATTAACAACCCTCGCTCACCCTGGAGACTGCGGGTTATTTGAGATTTTATGTCCCACAAAATACATTTCTAAAAGCCGGAGCAAAATCTTTCAAGACATTTCCACTAGGGCTTTACCGGTTTTACCTTTTCAGTAACGGCGTAGAGTTCTATAAGCAAGTTAGGGGATTATAGACAACATAAGGCCGTGAGAAATGAATTTTCATATGCAGTATAGCAATCACTTTTTTCAAATAGAAAAAAATTATAAAACTTGTTTAGTTCAGTTACCGCATGTACCAGCCAACATGAAATAAACAGAAACAAGCAACCGTCGGTTGAATACAAAATTGAAATGAGCGGGGGCTGGGAAGGACGTCGGGAGACCGGTCTTCCTTCTGTGAGTTTTTCCTTCCGGTTTGGTGGAGCTAAACCTTAATTGTCCCCGGGCACAAAAGAGCAGGCACCGCTCCGGCTTCACTGGGGGTTCCTGTGTGCACACCCGTCTTTGTTAGTTCTGGGGCAGTCCACTTCTTTGTTCTCACTGCTATAAAGCTCATGATTCAAAAGGACGTTTGACAGGGCAAAGTGGAGTCACATGATCAGGTACTCAAGGTGTGAACACAACACCATTTGTGCCAGTACCCACATGACCCAGGGACTGGTCCCGGGCGCCAAGTGTGGACAGCCCCTCTGTTCTAATGGTTAGACTGTTTCTAAAAGTCCTTTATTTTTTTTCGGTTGGTTATGCAAGCAACTCGAGATTACGCTATTACAGGTGTCATTGAAGCGTGTCTGTTATTCCGGTTTGATCCGCTTCCCCTTGTCAGTTTTACGTAGAGAAAATCTTTCGAAATGCCATCTTCATGTCTAGAGTACTGTTCTTTATGGGTACAGTAACCTTCTAGGATTCATTCACAATTTTTCTGAAGGAGCGCACTGATGTGACGAACACTGAGGTGTTTTTCTTGTCGAAGGTATACAGGCATAGTCCAAGATTATCTGCAGTCAGAACGTAGCCAACGAGCAGTCTCTGTATTTTTCTTTTGAGTCACGGTAGATTGCGAGCACGCGCGAGGGGCGGGCGGCAAAGGCCGAGAAACGACGGGTGGTACTCACACGCTCTATAAACCAGCACACTATGCTACGTCACGAACGCAACATTGTTGGCGAACAACTTCCAACATTGTTGGATGTTATATACATGTTGCGTTCTTTTCCACACCCTGTTGCTTGTAGTTGCGTGTTGTTGCGCAAAGTTTAAAACCGGCTACTACGTGCAAACGGACTCAACAGCACCCGACAATGTTGGGTTTTGTTGGTCAACAACGCTGTCTCCGTTTGCAAGGGCTTTAGTACTGTATTTTATCTTCAGAACCTACTATTTCCTGCTATTTCAAAACACGCTTTCTGAAATCTCGGCCGCCGGGACCCAGTACTGTGATGCTTCTGTTTATGGCAGACAGAGATTGTCAAAGGTTATGGAACCTGAAGACAAACTTTGGGAAACATTCCTACTCATCAGTCTGAAATGTAAAGCCGTCTCCTTCCCTTACCTCGTGGTGGGTAAAGAAATAAACGGAAGTTTCATGGTATGACTTGGTAAGGTGTGGCTGCTAAGAAAAATAAACCGAAAAAAAGATAAACATCACACAATGATTATTGTTTGTCACGTTTGTTCCGAGTTCCCAGAGGCTCGATGGTTTTGGCTTTATGAATGAGGTGCGCCTCACGAACTTTCCTAAGACAATCACGTTCATATCTAAGTGTTTCAGTTGGGATAAGTGACATATGAGAAACAGAGTGGCTATTGGTGAGAAAGTGTTCTGAGACTGCGGTTTGGGTGTAACTACCGGAAGGGCGACTATGGTTAGTCTATTATTATTTTACAGATTCTGATATTCGTGTTTTTTCCTAATAAACCTGATGAATACGGGTATTGGCCAGTCGAAATATTGTATACTTCAGCCTTGTTTGATCAGTACTTTGCAGTAGTCTCTTTGACTTTAATTCTATTCTCATCTTTTTCGACTGATCACGATCTTGCTTGATCCAAAGTTGAACTACATTGATCGTTCACGGTTTTTGCAGTGGTTTTTCAAGCGTTAGTTGACATTGTAAAAATATAATGAATGAAACGTTATAGCTAAGTAAGGAAGGAAAGAGTTTAGATAAAGGTACATGGAAAGTAATGTCTAACAACTATCGCCCCATCTCATTATTACCAATAGTCTCAAAAGTCACTGAAAGGTTGGTACATGGACAACTTATGGAGCATCTAATTAGAAATAATAAACTGGCAGCACATCAGAGCGGAAATAGAAAGCTTCACTCGACAGAAACAGCTCTGTTGTACGTTACAGATCAGTTGCTCCAGGCTATGGATAACAAGAAAGTTTCCATCATGGTCTTATTAGATATGTCTAAAGCATTTGATAGTATTCGACACGACATCTTGTTATCCAAGCTACAAAATCTCGATTTTTCCCAGGGTGCGTTGGATTGGTTTCAGAGTTACCTTTCTAACCGACAACAGTGCGTTCGAATTGGTGACGCAGTTTCTAAAGTACTCCCACTTGAGTTCGGAGTTCCGCAAGGCTCTATTTTAGGTCCGGTTTTGTTTACAATCTATGTTAACGACCTCCTTTCTGTTCCTAAACGTTGTCTATCTGCCTCCTATGTTGATGATTGTAAATTGTATTTGTCCTTTTCACCTGCCGAATTACCCACGTCCATCCTCGCCTTAAACGAAGATCTTACGAGAATATCTCAGTGGTGCTGTAAAAACTCTCTTTTGATTAATCCGGACAAAACTAAGGTTCTAGCTGTTGGATTACCACAACTTTTAAAGAAACTGTCATCATTCAGTATAACACTTTTTGACAAGGAAATAACACCTGTGCCTGTCGTTAAGGACTTGGGTGTTCTTCTCGACACACGCCTCAGTTATAACCAACATATCACTGAGATTGCCTCTAAATGCCTTTTTAAATTGTACCAAATTAACAGAATCAAGCACCTCCTGGATAGGAAAACACTTCTGTTAGTAATAAATTCATTTGTCTTTAGTAAACTCCAATATTGTTCAACTGTCTGGAGTAATACCAGCAGCAGCAATATTGACAAGTTACAAAAAGTCCAAAACTTTGCTGGGCGAATTATTCTGGGACTAAGAAAGTATGACCATATTTCGGATGGGTTGCGATCATTGAAATGGCTTCCTATTAGAGAGAAACTCATTCTAAATGACGCTACTATGATGCACAAATGTATTAACAAGCTTGTTCCAGACTATCTTGCTGATATGTTTAAATCACGTTCTCAAGTCCATAATAGACAAACTCGATCATCTGGTGCTTTGGATATACCTTTATGTCGCCTGTCAACAGGGCAGCGCTCCTTTGCTTTCAGAGGAGCCAAACTCTGGAACTCCTTGAATGATAACATTAAGTCCTTAAAATGCCCCAGGAATTTTAGACGTCATCTTGCAAATGTTTTATTAAGTTGATATATTATATTATTGATATATATTTTGTAATTATAATATTATTGTATTTACATTCTCAATTAATTTATATATTTGTATTTTTTTTATTCTATTGAGCTGAAAAGCCCACTTAGGGAGCATCAATAAAGTGTATGTATGTATGTATGTAATCAGGCAGAAGTGAAAAGTACCGGAAAATGTTACTCCTGGCTTAAACTGCTTGCAGTCCTCCTTTTCTCTTGAAATCCGTCTATCTCTTATCTCAGCCAGCGCGATTGCAAACCACAATGTTACGTTAGGCTCTCGATTATCGCAGCTCGCGTGCTTGGGTTTTGCGGGCAGTATATAACTTTGCGCAAAGAAAAATAACACCAGAGACTGTTGTTACAATTCTTGGCTTTTGAAAACCCAGACTAAATTAAAATTTTCTTGCTCAACCCTTAAATTCCACTGAAAAAAAAAACAAACAAAAAATTTAAAAAAAAGGGAAAGGAAAAAAGAAGGAAAGAACTAAAAGAAAACTAACTGAGCCTTTAGGTTGCAAAATGGTTGGGAAATAATTCATAGTTTTACACTGAAATTGAGTCGTGTCAAAATTCTTAGTTTTTGAGCCTGAAAATGGGCCAGTTCACTCACACACTCTCAAGAAAGAATTGGCCCCTGACCCCAAATTCAATAATGAATGAGCAGAGCCCGCGGAGCAGTTTGTGAAGTGCGGGGACGATCCAGCTCTTTTGAAGTATAGGTTGGGGGGAGTTGTGGACTTAAAAAATGGCTTTCAGGGTGCCGAGTCAATATTATTTAGTACAGCGGTAACAACTCATCAAGCATCAAGTGTAACCATGCACAGGCAGCATCATAATTTCCGCTTGATTTATTTACTTCAAAGTTTGTCCGTTCTCGTTTTGCGAGTGTCTAGAACCTTGAGTAGTCATCAGGTTGAAAGGAGTCATCCTCTTGCTGCAAAAGTTATAGGAAAGTAACAGCAGAAGCTCAGTAGATCATGCTCCGCAGAGTTTCCTTCATTTTGTCTAGATATCTGCGACATATGTAATATCACAACCATTTAAGCTTTCCAACAGGTTATCAGTATACATTTTAAGAAATCGTAGCTCAGTGGAGATTTAAAAACCTTTATAAAGAGACTTGCGAGCCCTGATGAGTTTAGCGGCCTGATTCCTAAAAAAGCGAACAATTCTTGCAAGGACCACTTGGACAAACAGGAGCGAAGAAAAGCCGGATCTTGCAATATAGAATAACACTTAAAATTGATGGCAAGGCTACTGGCCGACAGCTAAGGGTTTAAAATAGTTGATAAAACAAATTTATTTGCCCAATATTTCGACTAGGCGAAACTCACGGTCTTTAACAGGGGCTAGAAAAGCTTATTCCTTCTTTACTGCAAAGGAAAGGACTCCTAAACAAAGGCCTGAAATAAAATAAAAAAAAATTTTTGTACCCAATACAAAAACCCTTGTCGGTCTATTGCACGGACTTATCTCCAATTAAACTTTTTTTTAGTGAAAATAAAATAAATGCAAAATCAGAAATCGGCTGTAAGCATTTTCTCTTCTGCCACTCACGCTATAAGCTTTTCTGAGAGCGGTCTGACAGAGAAGGGGGAAACGTGCATCAGACTTGTACAGGAAGACTTTCCAAAAGAACCGCTTTTTTCTGACACGTGTAAACAATGTTCCGCGGACGAAGACTGGTAACTCAAGCTTGCACCGGAAGTCATTGGAAGAAAAGCCATGCCCTAGCCTACCCTAGAGGAAAAGTAAGTAAACCTTCTGTTCAAGTGCTTGTCGCCCTCACCATTTATTTTAAAACCTTGCTGATGTTTTATTTCAAATTGAGTCTCAGTACTTTTAAAAACAAATCAGAAAGCTAAAGGAAATTCA